CCATTTAATTTTTCGTTTATATTTAATTTCAGTTTTACAATTTACTGTAAATCAATGTAAGACAAATAATACATGCAGTAAGGAAACACAATTGAATCATTTTACCAGTTCCAGTATATTATCATGCATTTAAAGCCATAAAATCAAACAATCAGTTAAACAGGACAAACAATAATAAATAACCAATTATACTTTATTTAGTAACCTGTAATTAATTCTCAAAATTTTTTAAATTTCGCAAAATACCATATTATTGATAATTAAACTTCAATTCCATAATATGAAATAAGTTGAGAGATTCTTAACCGAATCGGTGTTCGAAACATCGAATTTTCAGCTGCGCCTACTGGTAGTCCTCAGGTTTTCTGAATTTTTCTACGGAGATTAAAACACGCTTCATGTACCTAAAAATACCTCAAAAACTCCAAAATCGTTGTTAAAAATCTTTTTCCGGCCAATTTTAAAATTTTGGCACGGTGGCACTACTGCGCTCCGGTGACGGCATCGCCGCTCACGGCGCGGTTTGCGTCGGCCTGGCCATTTTTGACCAATGTTGGTCGGTTTCGACCGATTTTATACCCATCATTGCGAAAAAACATGTTAGGGGGTATCGGTTGACCGAAAAAAGTCAAAAAATAAAAATCTACCAGCGGTAGGATTTTGCAGTACGACGGCTCCATCGGCTCACCTTCGCGACTGGACAATTTTTTCGGTCAACTTGTAAAAAATAGAACGGTGAATATAATGGTAAAAATATCACACGAAACGAAAAATGGTAAGGGGCTCATCGAAGGTGGTTTCAGGTTTTACCCACAAAGGTATTGTCGAGCTTTGCCCACGATTTTCGGCTCATCCGCTGTTTCTTTTGTTTCAATTTAGCCATGAGGGTGTTAGAATCAAATTCCAAATGGAGAGGATAATTTTTACCTTTTTTGGCGATCAAAAGTGGCTTCGGCGCTGTGGCGGACGGTGGTCAGCTCCCTTCTCTGGCAAAAGACTGGCGGTTAGGGTCTGGGTTTGGTGTGATGCGAGATATTTATAAATTTCTCCCTTAAATCTATACCGTTCATCGCGTTTGATCTCGATCGTCTGATTACGTTTAAAAATGAAATAAATCTAGATCATTCATCACTATTTGATCTCGACCGTCTGATCGTGTTTAAAGAGGGAACGAATCTAAACCATTCATTACGTTTAATCGCAACCGTCCGATCGCGCCAGAGGAGGAAACATGTCTGGATTGTCCACGAGCGCAGGAACGCATCTGGGCTGTTCGATCACGGGTACGCAAATTGCCAACGTGACACCGAGTCAGCGTACCTTGCCACCCGGCATGCTCCGATTCGTCGGGACTGCTGACTGAGCGGCCCTACATAGCGTACTTTTCTTAATTGTATTTTGACCTCCAAATTTCTGATTTTTTTTTTCAAAAATATCATCCAAACTTAAATTTTCACTATTCTTTTAAAAAATTATTTTCAATTTCATATTCAACCTATTTTTTTTTCCTAATTTCATATTAAATAAAAATTTATTAATTTTAAAATTAATTTCGAAGCTAAATTCTGAATCCGGTTATTACAAAAATACACTATCTTTATAATAAATTTGAACAAAAAATTTATCTATTATTTAGACCTGCGTATATATATGCATATATCAAATAAAATTTCAAATTATTTGAGTTGGAAACTTCAAGGCATATTGTATATTTAGGTTTGAAGATATGAATATTAATTATTAAATATTAAGAAAAAATATACAAGGAATAGTTTGATATATATATATATTTAATTCATTCGAGATATACATACATATAAATTGATGAACCTTTATATATTTAATTAAGTATTATATGTATAGATATATACATGCTTGATGTGCTTTGACTTTGACTTGTTCTAAAGCCTGCAGCTTCTCAGTATGCATGTGTTACGTGGGCATCCAAACTGACAAACCATACATAGAAATTTTATAAAGAGAGATTAAGTTTATTTATACGTTCAAAACATTGTATATATCTGATATCTATATTCTGTCTTTCTATTAAAAAAAAATAATAATAATAATATTAAGATTAAATTTATAATTAATTAAGTAAATAATTATAATGCTAAAGATGTATATTTTGACAAAATTAAAATTTAATGTTAGTTTTTTTATTATAATTTAGTTCTTTATTTTTTTTATTTATTTCAAATGTCAAATTCTTCACATTTTTAATTAAAAAAATTGAAAATTTTATGATATATACTTAAAAAATATCTTTTAATAAAATTTAAATAATTAATTTTTAAAATAAACAAAAAAAATTAGTGTAGATGTATAAAAAAAAAAAACTAGTCAAATAATATTCTTATTTGTATATAAAAATAATATAAGCAACAATTGTAAATAAATAAACCTGTTTACTTGTGAAGTACTCCAGGCAGGTGCTTGCGGCGTATGCTTTACGTCACTCGTTTCATTCTTTGTACTGCAAAAACAAATAAAGAGAAAGCTTCCGTTCACTGACAAATTCTCCGATGTAAAGAGAACATTTTAATTTCTGATTAATTAATTTAATTAATTACTTAATTTAAATTAATTTCCCAATTTCTATTTTGATTTAACACTTTTCTGCACTCCACCTCCATAACTGGAACTGTTACTTTGTGGGGTCCACTATCACAAGGATTGCCGAACTACCAGATCATCATAACTCGGGTCCCACAGTTTCTTCATTAATTATTTAATTAATATATATATATTTTTTATAATTTAATGCCCTGTACTTTGATTTTTATATTATAATATATATATATTTTAATTTTTCAACTTTTGTAATTTTGATTTGGATTGAATAACCGCCTAGGCGGCCCATCTCGGTTTGATTTGGGCTTCGTGGGCCCAAGGGGTGAACAGATCTGGACATGGAAAATTGGGTCGACTAATTTTGTTTTACTGGGCCCCGTCTGCTTGATCTTGACACGTGTCCAATCCGAAAAAAAAATTAACAAGATAATAAATTAATCAAAATAAATAAAATATTACTAATAAAATAAAAATAAATAATAATAATTTTTGATCCGGTGCGGTTCGATTCCAGATCCTATAGACCTACATAAAATTAAAACGTTAAATTTTATTACATTTTTTTTTAAAAAAATTCTTATAGTGAAAATATTCCCTATTCTATTTCACTTTATCCTATTGAATTTTATATTTTCTTCCATTTTTACTGCACTCTCTGCTCCCCAACCCGTCTCCCCGACCAGGCAATCTCTCGTTCTCATAGGTCCATTCCCTTCCGTTTGCTCCCACTCTGCTCGCCATCTTCCTGACAGTCCTCATCTTCCAGGGCCCCTCTCTACGGTCTAATAATCTCCTCTAATTTTCTCTCAAACTTTCTCACTCCCTAGAAGCACCGACGGGGAGCACCACCTTGTAATTTGCAGCTTTTCTTTAAGTTATGAATTCAAATCTTTGATTCGAATCACCATTAGACTCGTCGCGGGATCATCGCGGAGAAAATGCGCCAAATGTCATCAGGGAGAGAGAGGAGATTCTCGAAGCAGAAAGCTGACCTCGCCTCTGTCCTGCGGAAATCTTGGTACCATTTAAGGCTGTCGGTGCGGCATCCGGCTAGGGTTCCTACGTGGGACGCTATCATTCTCACGGCTGCTAGTCCTGAGCAAGCCGAACTGTATGAATGGCAGCTCAAGCGGGCGAAGCGGATGGGCCGGATAGCGAACTCCACTGTCACCCTCGCTGTTCCTGACCCGGATGGACAGAGGATCGGGTCCGGGGCTGCCACTCTTAACGCCATTTACGCTCTTGCTAGACACTATGAGAAGCTCGGGCACGATCTTGGTCAGGAGGTAATTTCCGTCTCTGTTTATGCTTAAACATGTCCGTGTAATTTTGCCTATGACAAATGGTTTAGTAGAATATTGAATTACCTCAAGTGAATTTCTTTGATTAATGCTACCTTTTTAAGACAAATGGTGGTGATAGACCTGAAACGTTTCTGAAATTTTCTATTTATGAAGAGAAGTAACGAGCCTGGTTTAGATGATCAGTACTTGATGTTGCTTAGATGCCTATGATCACATGATTGACTTTACATTTGCCATTTGTTATTACTTGAAATTTTTCTTTGCTTTGTTTTCACAATCAGATTAAATTTTAATTTCATGTTTTTTTACCCTTCAATTATTAGAAGATGAGTACATTTCTATATAATTTGATAGTTGGATGATAACAAATATAAATATCAAATTGAACTAATCTGTTAGTTGCTTGATTTGATGATGGGGATGTGATCAACAGGTGACGGTTACGAGAAGCTGCAGTTTTGGATCTTCTTTGCCAGATGATAGTTCCAGGTCAAGTAATGGGAATGCTCTGTTACCGGTGGTTAACCTCGTGGCCAAAAAGCATATACTAATGCTTCATGCTGGAGGTGACTCTAAAAGGGTTCCATGGGCGAACCCTATGGGGAAAGTATTCCTGCCACTCCCATATCTAGCAGCAGATGACCCTGATGGGCCAGTTCCACTGCTTTTTGACCATATTCTTGCAATTGCTTCATGTGCAAGACAATCTTTTGGAAATGAAGGTTATCTGTCCTGCTTGTTTATGTTAAATGAAATAATATATAGCTACTTATACATTATTATCCATTAAAAAGAGGCTTTTTTGTGAAATTTTTAAAGTAATTATTCTAGAAGCATTTCAATGTCTCATACAGTGTCCAATGAACTGCGTGCTGTGAACTTTGAGCTATTACCATCTGGGCGTTAGGCTATCTTCGATTCTATTCCAATCCTACTCCTTTAATTATGGTTACTAAAGTATTCTTGATGTGTAGAAAGGGATAATGTCATCATTCTTGGTTCACAATTGGACCAATTCCAATACTACCTAGAATTCCATGAAAATGGATTTTAGATTCTTACTTAGCGAAGGAAAAATTGAATTTATCCAACCTGAATTGAGAATAACATAACAATACTATTCTTTTAATTCCAAATTTGTCCCAATTTTACTATATTCTTACTCCTATTCCATTGAATTAACTCTTTTGAATCAGATGTTGTCTCTTAGTCACATTGGACAAATATTCATCTAAATTTCACTGAAGAAGTTTCTGTCCTGGAATTCGTAGGTCAACATTTTACTTTCCTTGATCTTATCTTTTGCTGCATTAACTTTCTGTTCAAATTTAGAGAAATCTGAGTATAATTGGTTCTGCATGGAATTGCTTAGAGTCATTTATCTAAGATTATTATTCATTTGAGTCACATTTCTCTGACCAAATTGTACATCTGTTCTAGGACCATTCTATAATGACAGACAGTGTTTTCCCATATTTTTGGATGCTTAAGGAATCTGAATCCTTCCAGGTGGAATATTCATCATGACTGGAGATGTTCTTCCATGTTTTGATGCCTCCAGCATGGTTCTTCCAGAGGACACATCTTGCATTATCACTGTCCCAATCACCCTTGACATAGCTTCTAACCATGGGGTTATAGTAGCATCAAAAGCTCAGATCCTTGGTGAAAATTATACAGTCAGTTTGGTTGACAATCTGCTTCAGAAACCTAGTATAGAGGAACTTGTTAGTAGTGGTGCAATCTTAGATGATGGCAGAACATTGCTTGATACTGGAATAATTGCAGTTAGAGGCAAAGCATGGCTAGATCTTGTCACCCTTGCATGTTCGTGTCAACCAATGATTTTGGAACTTCTGAAGAATAAAAAAGAGGCAAGTTACTTTCTTTGGCTCCAATCAAAATATATAAGAATGGTCATTCTTAATAGGCTATACCTTTTTCCTTATGCTGGAGGCACAGGACTTGAAGCTCTGCTCACAATTTGATTGCAAATCAGCTCAGTGTTGGAAATTCTACGTTTAAAAAAATTAGAGAAAGAGAGCATAGAGATTATCCAAATTATTGATTAATTTGATATATAGAAAAGTAAAGGGTGAAAAAAAAAATGAAAGAAGGAAACCTCTCCAAAGAAAACTCCTTTGCTTGTTCCTAGAAGTTTGTCTGCTGGCTATTTAAGACAAGGTTTCTATGAAACCATGAAATGCTATAATTCACTACATTTTAAATAAAAATGGTTTAACTTTTTGCAGATGAGTTTATACGAAGATCTAGTTGCAGCTTGGGTGCCCGCAAAACATGACTGGTTGTGCCTTCGGCCTTTGGGAAAAGATTTGATTAGCAAACTTGGAAAACAGAGGATGTCCACCTATTGTGCTTGTATGTTAATCATTGTCTGGAAGAACCAAAACTTTATTATCTCTTTCGTTGTTTTATTTTTACTAGATTATCTTACTCTCACTAAATTATATTCTCACAGATGATTTACTATTCTTACATTTTGGAACCTCAAGTGAAGTTCTAGAACACCTCAGTGGGGCTGGTTCAGGAATTGTAGGTCGAAGACACTTGTGTTCCATCCCAGCTACTACTGTATCTGACATTGCAGCATCTGCTGTTATTCTTTCCAGCAAGATTGCACCAGGAGTGTCAATTGGGGAAGATTCTCTTATATATGATTCGTCCATTTCTGATGGAATGCAAATTGGTTCCCAATCAATAGTTGTTGGAGTTAATGTCCCTGAAGATAATGACACGACTGTAGAAAATTTATTTTGGTTCATGCTTCCGGATCGGCATTGTCTATGGGAAGTTCCGTTAGTAGGATGCACTAAAAGGGTCTTAGTGTACTGTGGAATCCATGATAACCCAAAGAATTCACTCTCAAGAGATGGGACTTTCTGTGGGAAACCCTGGGAGAAGGTTTTGTGTGATTTAGGCATTCAGGAAAGTGACTTGTGGAGGTTCAATGGTCGTCAGGAGAAGTGCTTATGGAATGCAAAAGTATATCCTGTTCTTGATTACTTTGAAATGCTAAATTTAGCAAAATGGTTAATGGGCTTGAGTGACCAGAAAACCAAGGACTTGCTTCATTTATGGAAAAGTTCTGACCGTGTCAGTTTGGAGGAGTTGCATAGATCAATTGACTTTCCTAAAATGTGTATCGGTTTAAGTAATCATCAAGGCGATCTTGCTGCTGGAATTGCTAAAGCTTGTGTTAACTACGGCATGCTTGGCCGCAATTTATCCCAATTGTGTGAAGAGATTCTTCAGAAAGAACTCATAGGAGTTGAAATATGCAAGGACCTTCTAGCATTATGTCCCAAACTTCATGAGCAGAACCCTAAAATTCTGCCCAAAAGTCGGGCATATCAGGTAGAAGTTGATCTTCATCGAGCATGCAGAGATGAAACAAGAGCTTGTGAGTTGGAGCACAAGGTTTGGGCTGCTGTTGCTGATGAAACAGCTTCAGCAGTGAGATACGGTTTTAGAGGTATAACCAGATAATCTTGATAATATTTATATCCTAGTAACCGGTATAATAGAAAAAGAAATTTGACACAATAATAAATAACCAATCAATAACTCTTAGGAAATCCATTTTAATGCGAATTTATCCATTGTGTTAATTGTACAGCCGTTTTGGAGCTTTTATGTGAGTTTTGATTTTCCAAAGACTCATTAATGATGCAAATTCTTTTCTTCTGTAGAGCATCTCTTGATGTCTTCTGATGGAAAGACCGTTATAGCATGTCAGAATGATAACAACAATGATTGTGTGGATAGATCTTTTCATCCAAGAAAGGTGAAGGTGGAGCTACCAGTCCGGGTGGACTTTGTAGGGGGTTGGAGTGATACTCCCCCATGGAGCCTAGAGCGTGCTGGTAGTGTTCTGAATATGGCAATTAACCTGGAAGGTTCCCTTCCAATTGGCACTATCATAGAGACAAGGAAAGAAAATGGAGTATTGATTACAGATGATGCTGGAAACAAAGTGTATATTGGAGATGTCACCTTTATTGCTACTCCCTTTGACGTCAATGATCCATTTCGCCTTGTAAAATCTGCATTGCTGGTGACAGGAATTGTTTCCGGAAGCTTTCTAGAAACCATGGGCTTGCACATTAGGACATGGGCCAATGTTCCACGGGGTAGTGGACTTGGGACTTCTAGCATCTTAGCAGCTGCTGTTGTGAAAGCACTTCTCCAGATAACTGATGGAGATCAAAGTAATGAAAATGTTGCCCGACTTGTTTTGGTCTTAGAGCAGCTCATGGGGACGGGAGGGGGCTGGCAGGATCAGATTGGTGGATTATACCCTGGGATCAAATTTACAGCAAGTTTTCCTGGAATACCGTTGCGGCTCCAAGTCACCCCCTTGTTGCCTTCTTTTCAATTGGTATCAGAGTTGCAGCGGAGATTGCTTGTGGTTTTTACTGGACAAGTAAGTGTTTCCATGCATGCATAATGGAATAGAAGCCTGCAAGAAGCTGGCATTTAACTTTTCATAGAACACACACTGACATCTTGCGGTCACAAGATTCAGGTTTGCATTAAGTAACACCCATTATTCGTCTTCATTCTAATAGAAAGATACAAGACATGCACAGGATACTCACTATAACCCAACTGATTTTGTGAAATTCTATGCTTCAGCTTGTTCTATTATTTCTTTTGCAGGTTCGACTTGCACATCAAGTCCTACAGAAGGTTGTAAAGAGATATCTTCGGCGGGATAACCTTCTTGTCTCTAGCATCAAGCGTCTTGCTGAACTGGCAAAGCTTGGGAGGGAAGCTCTAATGAACTGCGACTTGGATGAATTGGGAGAAATTATGTTGGAGGCTTGGAGATTGCATCAGGAACTTGACCCTTACTGCAGCAATCAATTTGTTGATAAGCTCTTCTCATTTGTTGATCCTTTCTGCTGCGGTTACAAACTTGTAGGTGCTGGTGGTGGAGGCTTCGCTTTGTTACTTGCCAAGGATGCTGACAGTGCCACAGAGTTAAGACACAAATTAGAACACAATTCGGATTTAGATGTGAAAGTCTACAACTGGAACATATCCTTGGAAAGGTAAATCACATGTTATAGAAAACCACACTACTAGTCTGTTATTCTTTACAGTAAAGTAGTTCATTATTGTTTGACATACCCTATAGATATTCATGGTCACACATATTATGTTGCTACCATGTTCTTGTATGAATACATAAAAGGGGTTAGAAACTTAAGTTGTGTATTAATATTTGATATTTAATAAAGTTCAGTTGCATGACCTCTCTAGTGCATTTCCCTTGGCTACCCTCAAATTGTGGCTGTTCTGATTTAGTTCTTGGATTGTGATGCCTCTATTGAACGTTTATGTTCATTGATCTGCTTAGAAACAAGTAGCTGAAATTCAAGTACTACTGATCTAATAAAATTTTAAATTATTAATAACGAGTGACTTGAACCTAACACGTCTGTCTACCTTATTAGTTATAGGATTATGTGTAAATAAGATAGGTTATCCAGCCCTGCTCTGGTTTACGATCTAGAAATCAAGTTAACTTTGAAGTTCATTTATCCTGGAAAAGCTTAGAAGTAATCTTTGTGGTAAAAATTATGTGTAACTCAAAGCTATTGACTCCTATATCTGTCTTTATAGGATCTATTTATGGACAGACATCAAAATTTTCTCTTATCTTGGCTGTAGCTTTCAAAAAAATCTATATCTTAAATTATTTCAACAAATCTTGGTCGCGGGAACAACTTTCATCCTTTAGAGAAAAGTCAATTTATCTACAGAGAAGAAGAAAGCAAGAGCCTAGACTAAAAAAATAGTTAAACAAAATGCAAGGAACAGTTTTTTAAGCAATTCACAAATAATATATATACCTATAAGTACTAGTACCCATCAAGCTCTAGCGTCCAAATTAAGCTTCCTCTTTGATTATAGTAGAAGACAACGCGGCAACAGTGGTCTTGTACTATTTGCAAGGAAGCAGAATAATGGTCTCAAAAACCATAACTGCTACGGTGCTCAATCTTATTATTAATTAATTGATTGATTCTTATAGATCATTTGTTTGAATAAAATATTCAATTTGAATGTGATTTTAGTTTTGGGTTCTATATATAATGGCATTCAGTTACAGAATCCATTCATCCAGAATCAATAGCTACACCAGAAACCTACTCCTGCATATAGCAATGGAACCCAGAAAAAGTTTCATTGTCATTCTTATTCTTCAAGTTTTTTTCACATTCAATTCACCTGTTAAATCAGCCCCAGCAAACTCAAATCTCTTCAGAGAATACATAGGAGCTGAATTCAACAACATCCGATTCACAGATGTACCGATAAACCCTAATTGCAAATTTCATTTCATCCTCTCCTTCGCCATAGACTATGACACCTCGAGCTCACCATCTCCAACAAATGGCAAATTCAACATCTTCTGGGACTCGGACAACCTCAGCCCATCTCAGGTTTCGTCAATCAAAAGCCAAAACTCGAATGTCAAAGTGGCCTTGAGCCTCGGAGGAGATAGCGTGGCTGGTGGCTCCGCCTACTTCAGCCCTTCCTCCACCGATTCATGGGTGTCAAATGCAGTTTCTTCACTGACAAGAATCATTAATAACTACAACCTTGATGGAATTGATATTGATTACGAACACTTCGATGCAGATCCTGAAACTTTTGCAGACTGCATAGGACAACTCATATCAACCCTAAAGAGCAATGGAGTGATCCAATTTGCCTCAATTGCTCCATTTGATGATGACCAAGTACAAAGTCATTACTTGGCCTTGTGGAAAAAATACAGTCACCTTATTGACTATGTAAATTTCCAGTTTTACGCTTATGATAAGAGCACGACGGTGGATCAATTTATGGATTACTTCACAACTCAGAGCTCGAATTATCATGGAGGTAAAGTTTTGGTGAGCTTTATTAGCGATGGCAGCGGAGGATTGTCGCCGGAAAATGGTTTTTTCACTGCCTGCAATAGGCTCAAGAGTAGAAAAGAACTCCATGGCATCTTTGTTTGGTCTGCAGATGATTCAATGTCAAAGGGTTTTTCTTATGAGAAGAAATCCCAAGCCCTACTTGCAATCTTCCATTAGTCTTATTTACCCAGTATAGATCGTTGCATATATACTATAATCAGAGGCTTGTCCTATTGCATATATATATATATGTGTGTATATATACATAGACAGACACACCCACATAGCACTATGTATGTCCATTGTGTATTGATTGTCTGAACTCTGACGTTTGCTTCTTAAACTACCATGAATATACTACTTTTTGTTGTCCATTGTGAATCATCTATATGCAGTTTCAGCCCATTTTATTGTTTTCTTCCATTACTTTTGTGTGTGTGTGTGTGTGTGTGTGTATATATGTATATATATATTTCCCTTAGCTCACTGTGTTTCAGTTTGAGAAGTAGCTAGACCAGGAAAGGTGGGTTGATTGTGATTTACGATGAGATTAGTTTTGAGCCATGCACGGCCACTTCCACATCCTCTTATACCATCTATATGCATCATAGGAATCCACCATGATTTCCACTCTTTATAGTCACCATTAATTAATACAACCATATCCAAGCAGCTCATATATGTCACTTCTCATGTGGGTTACATACATATACACATAAATGCATATATATATATATATATATATGTATATGTATATGTATCAAATGGATCATCATTAGTTATCAGTAATGAGTTTTTTAAGGTTGATACTAAATCTAGTCTTTTCATAAACAATTCCAACTCTGTTTAGATTATGTTGGAAATAAATATGTAAATTTACCTGTAAATATATTTTAAGAAATATAAATTTTATTGAAAAAATAATAAAAAAATAAATTTATATAAATTAGATAATCCCTTCCAAATTATATATATATATATATATATATATTAATTTTGAATTACACAAAATTCAATCCAAATCTAACCCACTGCTCTATCATTTTTATGTTTGCACTTAATTCAAAAGCAAACCCAATACTATATATATATACATGGATGTATAGAGAAAGAGAGAAGGAAATATATTCCCGCATGATTTTCAAAGTGCAAATTTCTCATCTTCCTAACCTCTAATCAAACCCATGTCCTCATAAAATTATATTACTGTCACCTATATATACACTATATGTGTATCAAATGTGATATATATATATATATATATATGTGTATCACAAATAAAGGCCCAAGATGTTAAGTGTGATCCCGTTAAAGTTTAAATTATTTGAAGATGAGATGAGGCTTTTAATTTTACAGTCATGAGAAAGATGAAAAGGACGTTATACCTTATCTCTGAAGGGTATAATTTTGCCAATCCATCCCTCTAATTCTCCATCAGTATTTTTCAAACCCCACCAAAATTTGGCTGCAAATTAGCCCACGTTATTGTTCGACATTGACCTTTCATCCTCTCTCTGTCTTCGAATCTTACAGTGCTCAGGACATGTACGAATATAATATACACACACACATATATATATATATATGTATAAGATTTTATATAAAACCGAAAGTGAATGTGCCATCTATCATTGACATGTTTAGCTTGATTATGTATGTGTGTGTGTGTGTGTGTATATATATATATATATATGCTTTGTGTAGCTAGTCAAATTCAAATGCTACATGCAACTACTTGTTTTATGTGTAACTTAGTTCTTTAATCCATAAAAGTGTCCTCTTAAATTTTTATATATTAAGACTATGTTTTCCATATTAAATTATTTGGTTCAAGATTTCATTGTAAAATTATTAATTCATCTCTTGAAATATTTAGTTTAAATAAGATTTAATCATATAATTATTAATCTCGTATAGATATATATTAAGTATCAAAAAATCAATTATTAATTATCAATTTCTTAAAATATATATTTTTTTAAAAAAAAAAAAAAAATTGGGCAATGACTTTAATATCTAAAGACACGAACAAAGCTTTAAAAGTAAATCATCAATCAAAATCGTGGTATGCTCGAAATAAAAAAAAAAATGTAGCAAGCTTTAAGAGATCATTATTCCATTTCTTAGGATGCTCAATTTAGAGGATGGCTACGGTATTATTATTACTCCTAGTCTTAAAAAAGAAGCACCAAGTACTACAAAATTATTGATCCATCTCTTATGCCACTTTTAAATGAAGATTAGTAACGAAACAAGTACTGATTTTCCCGATAAAGAAATACTAAGTTTCAAAAACTCATTTTTCTGTATCTCAGGATACTTATTTTAAGAGAAACATCGTAATAAGATCATTATCCATATACCTCGAAAAGATAAATATATAAAGTTCAAGCTCTTGACTTAAGTAGGCTAATTTATAAATTTTTTTACTCTTAACGACTCAAACCCATTAATAAATCAATTCTAGAAATGACATACGATTACCCGCTCAAGATCCAAACATAAGAAGCCGCTCTGAGCGTGACAAGCTTTAGTCCAATAATAATAAATTACTCAATAAGGTTACAAATATTTATACCAAATTTTATATTTTGAAAAAAAACGAATAATAAGCATCTTGTTATATTGAGTTATATATCTAAAATTAGGGTGTTTATGATTTTTAAAATTCATGTAAAGATAAAACTCTCTCAAAGAGTTCTTTCCCAACAAAAAATTACATGAATTAACAAGAATCATTCTCAAGTCATATTGTACTTTTTTAGACCCCGATAAAATAACTTTTTTAATCACATATGACTGTCACGAATATTGACTAAGTTACTGATAAAAATATTTAATCATTTAGAAAGAAAAGATAAGTAATTAAAATATACAATAAATGATCATAAATATCATGTATAATCAATTAATATTTAATTTAATAGTTGATACATTTTTTAATTTACAAAATATCATGAGTTTGAACGAATTTGTATTTCTACGTACATCGTTATTTAGAGATTATTTGTATTGTATTATAAATTAATATATATATATATTACTTAATTAAAAAATATATACATTTTCTACCTAAAAAAATATTACATATAACTCTTTAAGCTACCTTCTTCTTTTTTTTTTTCATTAGAAACTATGATAAAATGAGAGCACTTCTATTTTCACTTTATGTGGTGGAATCTTTTTTATTTTTTTTATTAATTAGTTAATATATCTCATACTATAAAGAATTTATATATGGGTCTTGAATATGACTACATTATCATCTAGTTTCATGGGTAATTTTAAGATATAAATTATATTTATTGTTCGAATATTATTATATTATTACATTTAAGTAAATAAAATTAATAAAATATTTTCACCAAACCACTTCCTTAATTTATTATTAAAAAATAAATAAATATATATATATATATATATATGAATCTTGACAAGAATGGCATTTTAATCCTTAATTAATTAGCAACCACTTTTATTACCAACAATCTCCATTGCTCTCCAAAACAAGGAGAATATTAACTCTCTTCAAACCCAACCCATTTCACCAATTATAGAAACTAGTCACTTCCCAATTCCTTTTTTTTTTAATTTTTAATTGTATATATAATTCTATGGCATATATGTAAATATATATATATAATCACACACACACACACACACACATAAGTATAAGTGGGTGTATGAGTGAATGATGATAACATACATTATTCACCATATGATCACAAAATAATATGTAGATGTATAAATTGTAGTGGTGAAAACTGTTTGGGTTTGTAATGTTGACCCCATTTGACAAGCACACAAGCCTAAATAGGGCTTTGGCCCTGTTTGGCCATACCCAATTTCCATGAGCCATAGCACTTTAATTTCTTTTTTTTTTCTCTCTCTTTTGAGTTGAAAGACATCCAATTTCTTGGTATTTGATTTGTCATAAACTCAGCTTTTCCATCTAGATGAAACCCCACCTTCAATTTGTCATGTTCCACAGAATGACACAAATATTATAGCATCATTTGCCTGCCCTACTAGTGTATATATATACATATATATATATATATGTATATGTGGGTGTGTGTGTTTTCATATAGGCATGCATTATTTTGTATGTATATTGGCCAAGTTGACAACAATTGGGATTGAAGATTCGTTTCTTTTCCTATGAACAGAAGAATCAAAATCAAAAAACAAAAAAAAAAACTTCAATTTTACATTAAGCAAATTATAACATCATTATAGTTTTTTACTTGGTTACAATCATAATTTTTATGATTTTATACATAAATAAACATAAATAATAGATAATATATTTTAATATTTAAATTGTATCAGAATTATACAATTACATAAAAAAATTTGCAAATTATTTAAAATTTCAAACTAGTCTTCATACTAGTACTATGGGTATATATATATATATATATATATATATATATATATGAATACTTCATTTCAATTATTATATTTTCCATTTCATGATTTTCCCATTTGAAAAGGATCAATTATACATACCAAAAATATATAATACTTACAATATACATAGTGGTTTTGGTTGGGTAAGTGTTGAAATTGATGGCTTGCAAAAAAAAAAAAAAAAAGGAAAAAGAAATTAAATTGGTTGGGGTTTGCCATTAGTTCATATCTACTTTAGAAGGTTGCTAGTTAGAAATTGACCAACCATGGACCGAAACGTTTCAGTCCTTCTACTCTTTACTTAGTTACCAAGGTGGACCTCATTTCATATGTTATGTGAATACCCTTCCACTTTTCAAATCTTATTTTTATATAATTAAAATTTTGATATTTTACTTTAAAACCATAATTTTAAATTTCGTTAAAAATATAAAATTTATTATTTTATAAGTATATCATATATTAATATTAACTGATCAATTTATAATATTTGATTTAGTAACATTATTTTTTAAAAAAAAAAATAAATAAATAAAGAGATTGAATACATACACATACACATACCCTTATATTATATGATGGTGATTGTACAAAACATTGATTTTGTGTTATAAAATTAGTAAATTTCAAAAAGATCCTCATGATCATGATCACGATCATGATCATCGTGGATGAGAAAAATTTTCCATGTTGATCAATTTTTGTATAAGTCAACATTCCCCAATTCACCTACACATGTTGTGTCTAAATTTGTTTTAATAATTACATATAGGTATCTAGACTACTCATACATTAATGGTTTAAGTTACATATAGCTAGTATGTATATGTATATGTATATGTATATAGACTACTCATATTTAATGGTTTAAATTAGATTATGATAACTCGTGAAATATGAGAATTTTAAGTTTAGGTAGTATAAATATTTTTGGACGAGTCTTTACATAATAAGAAAAATAAAATAAGTGAATAAAACGTATTAGAATTAGGGTTTGAGCATCTAAGATATACACATATATTATGTATATGTACATATATAGATGTGTGTGTGTAATTGTGGGGATTAAGTAACACAATTAGTGGGATATTAAGTCACTAATTACCAATAAACATGTATTTGATCATCATTATCTCCTGAGCAGAAAGGTGATTTGTCATAATAATGATGATTAATATGATAATTAAGTTTGTTGATCATAAAATTAACCCAACTTATAAAATCATCCCTAATTAACCTATTAAAATTAATCATTACAAGTATAAGCATATATGTATGCTACCCACATGGGTTTTGTAATTAAATCATGACTTTCGAATGTGAGTGGTAGGGACCCATTCTCTTATTTACTCCGTCAAATTGATAGTATAATATAATATATATATATATATATATATATAACCATGTTGAAAAGTGCGTGTATAATAAATACATGCATATATATATATATATATATATATATATTGTGTGTATGTCTTAATTCTGTTTCTTCATAGTTTGACCGAATTAACGTGACAATTGATTTACAAAATATTTTCTCAAAGAGGATTTTGTCTCCAATTACCAAAGTTTTTTAATTCTAAATATTATTTTTTGCTGTTGTGGGAGATCATATTTTAACACCTAAAAGACATTAATTTTATGTAACGAGTAGTAACAAGTTAAATAAATTCATATTAATATATGAATAAAATGGAAATAAAGAATATTAGGGTAAATTATTATTATTTTGATTTTGATATGATTTAAATTATGTAGTTTAGTTATAAATTTTATTGTAACTTTAATTTATTTAACAAATTATTAAACTAGTTTAAATATTTTTTTGTTATAATTTAATTAACAAAATGTAACATAATGAAGATATTAATCTTAGAATTATCACAAGATCAATTATCAAAGCTAAATTTTTAGTAAAGCAAAACTAGGGAGTAAAACTATATATATACATATTATATATATATCTATGTATATATACTTTGCCCACAACTAATATTATATAATAATTAAGAAAAAAAATGAATAAAAAGACATTAATTCAGAGATTTTCTCTTTGAAAAATATAAATAAATAAATAAATATCAAGGGTTGAGATTCTCAAAAGTCAACGCGACTTCTCCTCTACATATTTAAAATATGTGACGTCATCATCCACGTCAGCATCCAGCTCGTCTCCCTGCCCTTTGGCTTTTGCTCTGTGCTTTTAAGTACCGCCCTCTCTCTCTCTCTCTCTCCACTCTCTTCACTCCAAAACCACCAACTAAATTAACTTTCAACACGCGCCATGTACGGACACTTCGCCACCACCTCTTCGACTCTCGGCACCGACTCTTCGTCGCCGGACGTCATAGCGCTGTCACAGTTCCCGTTACCTCCACCTCACCAACAGTTACTGATTCCGTTACCCGACTGTCACACGCAACAACAGTACCACCACACCAACCACTGCCAGTACCACCAGCTTCTCGCTTCTGCCGAGTTCGACTCACTGAGCGAGGCTCTACGAACGCTCAACTCCGACAGTCCGAGCTCCGTGCAGCACACTAGCGGCAGCAGCAGCGGTTGCAGCATTTGCAACTCGCCGATTTACAGCACGCGGAAGCCGAGTCTGATTCAAAGGAGCATCAGCAGCCACAACGGGTTCTACGGTCATTTCGGCTCGACCCGTGACCTGATAGACCCGGGTTCCTGCCCCGTCAGGAGAGTGTTCAGCACCGGCGATCTGCACGTGAGTTGACGAAACAACTTAATCACCCCTCATTCTTCTTTCATAATGACTTGTCTTTCCTTCAGATTAATTGATAATTAATTATTAATTAATTAACGATTAATGATTAATTAAAATAAAAATAAAATGGGGCATGCAGCATAGACAGAGAGGAGAGAGTCCAGTATCAAGTGAGAGCAGCATGATAATCGAAGCAATGAGCAGAGCATGTAGATACAGTCCAGAGGAGAAGAAAGAGAGAATTGAGAGATACAGAAGCAAGAGAAATCTCAGAAACTTCAACAAGAAAATTAAGGTTTTTAATCTTTTCTCTTCTTCTTTTTTTTTTCCCCCCTAATTAAACCATTATTATAATAATGATTAACAAAATTTAATCCAGTTATTAAGAAGATTAAGAATTGCATTTTTAGGAACGTTCCCAGAAAAATTTGGTTTCTGGGTACAAAAACTGATTCGGTAATGTATATATAAAGAAATTAATGTGATAATAATAACGATTAATTAAATAATAAAGTATGGTTAGAAAGTTAATGGAAAAGACATTTGGAAGTTAATTAATATTAGTGATTTAAGAAGCTTGTTTTTTTTTTTTTTTTGTCATTTAGTGATTATGTTATGTAGTTTGGATAATTTATGGGTCACTTTTAGAATCCACCCAAAGTCTTAAATCAGAAAAGACATTCAAGTTGAAATGAAACTGAGATAATATGAATGATTGTTGACATTTTCTTAAAAGAAAACCCCCCAAACAAACAAAAAAAAAAACATTAATTTATTTTAATTGATTCTGTTTACTATATAATATATGCTTAATTTATTTATATATAGTATATAATATATGCTTAATTTGTCACATCTTATGTTTAAAGTTCAAGCCATAATGATGATAAAATAGTACTCATTGTTTAGCACTTATTATAATGAGACAAGTTATAAGATTATAAAGAGTACTAAATGGCATTTTGGGTTTTATGTGTCTTCATTATTAGAAGCCACCAAGTCACAAATCTTATGTATATACACACACACACACATGTAAATGCGTGTATACATACATATAGGTTGTTCTATTTTCATTTTTGAGAAAATTAAGCATATGGGTTGAAAACTTTAAAAAAAAAAAGTAACAAGACACCCACAAGTGATTTAGTCAACTAAAATATATTATGGATGCAATATATATATATCTTTCATTGTAGGATGAAATGACAAGTGTATGCATACATATAAATTGCCCATATATATATATATATGTATGTCATATAAAATTATTTATCAGTAAAAAAAGTAATCGTAAATTTTTTCAGTTAAAAAAATTATGGGTTCATATTTATGTGGTGATAATTTATATTAGTAACTTGTGTTCTACATTTCATAAGCAATATTAATCAATTAATTATTGGCGTATGAAAAAGTATGCATGTAGGAAAACATTGGCAGATAGCAGGCCAAGAATAAGAGGAAGATTTGCAAGAAATGATGAAATAGAGAAGAATCCTCAAGCAGTGCTTCAATGGAGTCATATGGGTGTCGAGGAAGATGAAGAGTATGAAGATAATTGGATTAATTATCTTGATTAAATGATTAATATTATCTAATCCTTAATTAATCAACCATTTAGGAGAGTAAATATTTAATTAATAATGATTAAATTTTCTATATCTCTCCATATGGTGGGGGTGTGAATGTTTAATTTCTAGATTAGTTTTCTTGAAGTTTCTTGTCGTTGTAATTTAAATGCAGCCTTGTTAATATATTGTAATTTTTGTGCTTTGAGAAAAATATTGATGTAAATATATATACAGATAATTTTATGCTAATTAATTGAGTTTTTGAAGTGTTTGTATGTCTCTCTCTCTCTCTATATATATATATATATTTATGTATGTATGTATCTACCATATATTAGGTTTTTAAAGCTGTGGCAGTAGTTTTGTTTCCTCAAATTTGTGAGGAATAAATAAATTAATTCGACGAATTAAAAAGGTAGAAAAATTTTACAAAAATAAAAATTAAAAGTAATTTTTTAGACAGAGGATAAAACTTATACTTAAAGTCATCAAAACATACTTAAAAAAAATATCATATTGTCCAAGTTATATATATATATATATATATATATATATTTAGCCACAATAATAACAAAAATAACCCATTAAAAAATTAAAATAAAAATTAGAAAAGTAGGAGAATAACATTTTTTTAGATAAAAATAATTATATTGATTTATTTTCCTACTCAAATAATTAAAATAATTTAGGACATATAAATTGCATTTACTCTCCCAAATTTGCCAAAATTATATTTATTTGTTTGTATATATATATATATATTTTTTCATATGTTTACAAATAGAAATTGGGTTTGTCAATTAACATGTAAGTCATAAAACTCTAGCATTTTTTACTCTTTTTTATTAACATGTAAATAATTATGTATACTACCTAGTGCTTGTATTTAGTGATATATATATATATATATATATATATATATATCAATTTTTTTGTATTAAAAAAAAAAAAAAAGAAGAAGAAGAAGAAGCAAACATGTACCCTTTGTAGGTAAGGTAGGGAAAACCAAGTTATTAACTTTTGAAAGATGAAGAGTCAAAAGAAGTCAATATGGCAAAGAAAGAAAAGAAGATAAAAAGGGAGAAAAGTTGGGATAGAAAAAAAAGATCACAAGCATCAAAGTGAAAAAGACACACATAAATATATATATATATATATATATATATATATATATAATACATACATAATTGTATGCACATGTTGGCAAACATTTGCAATCACCATTTTTTCTTTTCTTTTCTTTTTTTTTTCACTTGACCTACTTTACTTAGCTTCTCTTGTGGGATAATTATTGAAGTTTATAGTGCTTGACATAAATACCAATCAATTCTTGCCTACTTCAAAAGGATATTTTGATTGAGTTTCTTAGTGTAAAGAAATCGTGGATAGAAAGAAAATGGGAATACCCATTAAACGAATGTAAAACATTAATTAAATTCGTCTATGTAATTTCTATACTAAGTTTAAATGGAATAAAAATTGTTTAAATTAGGGGTTTGGTCTATTTTTTCTTTGAAAAAAAAAATTGAATCTAAATCTTTAGGAGCATTATGAAATTGATGTTCTTAAAAAGAAAACTATTAAATAAAGTTTATTTTTACATGTAATTATTTTAAGATCGAGAGTTATTTACAAAATGAAAGGATATCATTTAATTTAAGCACACAAATATTAAGAAGAAATTTGGTGATTATGTAATCCAAATCTAAATTCAATTCTTCGTTTTACTTAATAATTGATAAGTTTATTTCTTTATAAAAAGTTATAAGTTAAAATCGGGTTGTACTCTTGTATGTATTTCTATTTTAAAGATATTTTTATTATATTATTATGATTAATATATATATATCATTTAATTGATTAATAGATATATTATCTATTAAAAAAAAGAACAGGTTTAACTTTATTACAATTCAATTTATGATTTTTTTTTTCATCGTACATAAAAGTTAAATTATTTATTCTATTAAATTATTTTTTAAAATCGTAAAGAATAAATCTATTTACAAACCCATTTTAGCACAACTCATATACATATGGAACTAAATTGTGCATTTATGAACTTTGCTCTTTTTACCTACAAGTGTCTTTTAGAATAAGTTCTAGAAGTTACAGTTTTTTTTTTTTTTTTTAACATTTGAGTGATTTTATTTTGTTCAAGGCTAAATCAATGATATATCAAATCACAACAATTAATTTATACAATTAAAAAATAATAAAATATTTATTTTGATTACTCTAATATGGAGTGTAACGTAGTAAAAGATTTATTAAATTATTTATTGTGAATTACGTAAGCCTTTTAAAGATTGATAATTTAAATTTTAAAGTTATCGGGTCATTCATCATAATGCATAGATTTAAAATAACTACAGACACAGAGAATATAAATTAAAATTTAACATAATATAACGAACGAAAAATTTTAAATTTTGGTTGTAACCATAAAAAGTTAATTATTTAAATATTATAAATTCGAGTCTCAATTAACGAAACTTAACAACCGTGAGATGTTTCTTTCGTCCGTATATTACATCATGATTATGTAAAAATAAGTTAAATTTAATCATTATAGTTTTACTAATACACTAAATATTATAAATTAATTATTTTTAACTCATAATATACTTACAAATAACGAATTCTACATTTTTAATAAAATTTAAATCATTATATTCAAATAAAACATAAAAATTTTAATCATACGGTGGTAGTGGAGAAGGTAAAAAAAAAAAAAAACATGTATTAATATATTTTACTTCTAGTTGTTCGTAGTAGTAACCAATAAATTATTAAGAGGGTAGGATGCGATCAAGTGAAATTTTGGTGTTTCATCGTTTGCATAATTAAAGGCTAAGGCTAAAAGCTAAGGCAATTTTTAGCCGTCGGGAGTCGACGGCGGTGTGTTACCCACTATATGTTTCGTGGATCATCATCTTTGCACAAATAATTTTTGATGTTTTTTTTTTTTTTTGTTTTTTTTGTTGGTTTACTTTAATATGTTTTTTTATGGGTAAATGCTAATGATTCCTACTAATTGCATTTAAGAAAATCGATAATGATTAAGAAAGTTTTAATCCATTCAACTTTGTCTTTCTCGCTTTTATGTGGCTTCGCATCTACTTTGTGTTCCCACAAAGGATTTTGTAAACCAAAAACGTTTTGTGTTCTTCAATTATTTTTTTTTAATTTTACCCTCTTTAAAAAACAAGTTTTTACTTTTTTTAAAAAAAAAAAAATTATATTATAATTAATTTTTTTAATAAAAAAAATATATATATATTTCATTAATTGACTTATAAATATTTATCATATACGTTTTTGTACTAAAAACTGATAAGAATATATAAAAAATTAAATTTATAATATTTTATCGAGATAAAGAAAATAACTAACATCCGACTAACAATTTATTAATTAATTAATTTTTATTTGAAGTCTTCGTTATTTTACCATTCAAAATTTCAATGATGTCGTATAATTGATTCAAAAGGGGGTTTGTTTTAGTTTAAAAAATGAGTTGATGCATTTTTTGTGTAAGTCAATTTTTATTTTTTTTTTTGCAAGAAAAAATGTTGGAATAAACCGATAGTAATTATTTCAACAAAAAAAATTTAAAGTATTCCGAAATGTATTTTTTATCTATAAATATAATAAATTTACTGAAACTAAGTTCAATTTGATCAATACGGCATCATTAATTTATGGGTAAAACTAAATTTCAATTTTATTGGATCAAGCAATTATAGATTAACCATCACCATCCACTAATATATCCACAAATGAGTAAAGTGTACATCCTCAATAAAATTTAATTATCTTATTGTTCTCAACTTTTTGTACTTACTAAATGCATACAAATGTCCCTAAATTATATTAAGAACAAATCTAGAATTTTGGTGAAATTTATTTGAAAACTTTTTACCTGGTTCAATTATAAAAATTAAAATATTCTATTAGAAAATAAGAAAAATTGAGCTTAAAATAAAAAATTCACATAAAAGAAGAATAACCTGTTCTAAATCTCATCAACTTGTTTTTGATATCTTGGCCGTCTTTAATTTAAGAAGTTTTACGGTGGGTGCTCAAGGGGCATAAAAGTCATCCATGTAGAAATCAAAAACCACACCTAAAAAAATACACAAACCTCTTGTTAAAGAGATAAAAAGAGATGAATAGGCTGCAGTTAGAAATATATATATATATATTAACAAAAAAAAATAGATGTAAATTTCAAGATATGCTATGAACATGAACATACATAAAATTTGATTATTCAAATATCAACAGTAATAACTCTAAAAGATAAAATGCTAAAAATACTAAAATCTAGAATCTGAAACAGCAAAGACTGACAACACTAGTTTTATTTTTAAATAATTTTGAAGAAGATGAGAGGAAGAGGAGAAAATGATGAAGTTGGTGGGCATGTTTGAATTTAAGAACAAATTGGATCAAGACCTAAAAGTACATTAATCAAGAAGATATAATAAAAACTAAACGAAAAAGCTAAATCCCATTACCAAAGTTAGATGGTAAGACAATGAAGCAAATCCTATGTGCATACCCTACTTGTTTGGAAAAAGGCATTGTTAGTGATGATGATGGTGGTGGCTGATTAAACATTAAAATAGCAGAAACCACTTTGTGATTCTTTAAAAACATTACTTTCAAGAACCATTATAAAAAACATTTCTTTCATCTGATAAAACAACTCAAAGCATTCGGTTAGACAAGAAATAAATTATGTACAAGTCTCACGCGGTAGCACATGAGAAGCAGTAACTTGTAGGGCCATTTACAATGATGAAATGAAGAAAGAGCAGGCATATATAAAAATATTCCTCGAAAAGATTCTCCATTCCAATTGCTTTGGCCCCTAGAACAATGGAGAAGAAACTTCCATGGAGATAATTGTACAAATACCTCTTTTATTAGGTATAACAATTCACATCATTTTTAGGTATGACATAAACTAATCTAAACTAGCTCAAAACTTTCATGATTGCACACCCCTTGTCAACCATGGCCATCTTTCCACTTGGAAGACTGAAACTATGATGAGTCCCAATCAATAAAAACAAGCAAAATCAGTGACGATACCTCAATTACTTTGCACGTGCTGATAGAGATTCCCAATTACATAATTTAGGAATGAAATCCTCTGTGTTTTGCAAATTTTTTGCCTCTTCTTTTGAAAAGAACAGGATTTAGAAAATGCTTGAAAGGATGGAATGGTGCTCGATGAAAAATCCCCCATTTTGCTCTAGATTTTCCTGCATCAATAAAAATAAGAACGTTAAGAGACTACTCAGGAAGATTTAGGTAACAAGCAGCTGTTTACGAATTTAAAAGGCCAATTATTTGTTAACTTGAGCCAAGTCAAAAGAATATAGAGAGTTGCATACTCTTGAATTTCAACGGAAATGGAATTATCTAGAATATTTCAATGAGAAAAAAGATCTAAAAGCCATAGCATATTTAATATCGATTCAAGATCAAAACATCAGCACCTTACTGTCAATTTCAATGCATTCGTTAATATAATTTCAATGATTTTGAGATAAATTAATATAATTTCAATATATTAATTACTACCTGATATATGTTTAACTGAGGTCAGATGATTAATTGCAGGACCAATTTCTCCATCCAGTTGCATTTCTATTGCAATGTCCTCCAGGGCCTCATGATTTGCACCCAAAGTGTCGTCTGACAATTCCATCTTACAGGATGCCACAAGTGGAATTTGATCAGCAATGACATTAGCCTCTCCAAGATTTATGGATGAATCTCTTTCCGAAATATTTTGCTGTGAAGACGCATCATTCAACACTAATACCGGAAGATTAACTTCACTATCAGCTGCCCCATGGTTTTGATCTTCCATCATCGCTTCTGGGGATCCATGATTTGTAGCTAAAGAATCATTATTATCCATCTTTTCACTGGACTCCATATACTTAATTTGATGAGCAAAAATTTTATCATCTCCTTGTGCCACATTTAATGCCTCTTCTGGAACATATTCACACAAAGGTATATCATGAACACCTTCGTGCAAAGGCATATCTTGCAGGGATAAAGAGCCATTATCTTCATTCTTCCTGTCCGTCTGTACACAGTCATCCATAGCAGCATCTTTTGCATCTGAACCTAAATAAACAAATTTAGAACTCTTACCCTCTTCATTTGGAGGGCTTGGAGTGTTATTATCTTCTGACGGCGTGGAATTTTTTGCAATAGTGTTAGTGATAGAAGCATCACCAGTACAACTGACCAAAATTTCAGATTGCACTTTCTCATTTTCTAATAGAAAACCAAATCCCTGTCTGGAAATGCATCTTCTTGAGGTAACTATTCCTTCTTCAGTGACGCATCCATTAGTTTCAATTTCCTCACCATTGAGAGCCTGTGCAATTCGAGATTCATCAAAACTAATGATTTGGTCTTTTAAAGGAGTATTTTCAGGTAAAGCATTATCTGCTTTGAAGTCAATACCAACTCCCCTGGATTCTTCTGACACATTACTGGTTGCAGGCATTTTCCTAGTCATCTCAGCAACAGAAGTAAGATTATCACCATTCGCTGGGGAGTGGGGTACAGAACCCACTCCAGATATCAAATCCCTCACTTGAAAACCTTGTGATGGCATACCATCAATAATAGAAGTAAAATCAATGGCTTTTGCAGTTTTGGATACTTTATTGATGGCTGAGAATGCCTTTCCATATCATCCAAAAGCAGATCACCTTCACCACTAGAGATGGGATCCCACTTAAGCCAGTCCCCTGGCCAAGGTTGCTTGGAGTTGCATTGCTCAGCAGAAGATACTAATTCGATTCTGATGGCCTCCTTGTAGAAGTGCTTTTTCTTTAAAGCATTAGCTATTAGAGTCCTGCAAGATGTTAAAGAAAAAAATGTACCCCATCACATGAGACATCAATTAAGTGTCCTAGACTGCAAGGATTTCACAAGTGACCGTACCTACAATTTGTGGAAATAGCTGCTTTCGCTCTTTCCGTAGAGAGTCCAAGCAAAGATGATAAATTTGCAACATCATTGGGCCCTCTAAATTCACTTGCAGTTGGAGCAGAACTAGAGAAAATGATATTTTTACCCCGAGTCCAATCCACCAGTAACTGAAAACAGCATATTACTTAAATGACAAACAAGATTTGATAATCAATTGTCTGATGTATAGAACAGACATTATTCCTTCCTTTTGACATGTATCTTGTAAGACAACTACTTTAGGAACCAGGAAGTTATATAAAATCAAACCTCGTTGAAAATTGGGAAGTGTGACAAAATCTAAAAGGAATCACTTTTACATAAAATATTTATTACACCCCTACTACTATGACATTAGTTACTCAAATTCCGAATTTGTATAAGAAGAATGTTAACTTCATGTTTTCTTTTTTAATGATAGAAAGTTAAACTTCGATTGTATTATCTACAATTTTGTGAATGATATAGGACAAACTAGAAATTTATCTACTCATGAGTTTGGGGAGAGAAACTAGATATTGTATATAGGATTCCTTAAGTATCGCCTATAAGCATTCTTGAGCATCACATCCAAGTACTTGACAGCATCACAAAACCAGAAATACTAAGAAAATTCTCAAATAACTATATTGAATATGTGGTCCTCTCAAAAAAAATTACGGAGATATTTATAATTCTTCCTAATAGGAAAACTTCCAATAAAAACTAAATGAATATAGGAAAACTAAATATTTAAAAAGAATAAATTCATGAAGTTTCTAAAAGTATAATAATAGACTCCTGATAACACTATAGTTCTATATTTAAAGAATTACAATTTTCAATCTATTTAGAAAATCTAAACTTAATCCGTTCTACATCAGTATGGGTGAAAAGTAGCGTTCTTTCTAATGTTCTTCATTTTTAACAATAAAATAACAACTTCAACTATCTGGATCTCCCCACTAAATCCATATTTGTATGGCCAACAACACTTGTATGACCGCTCAGAAATCTAAACATTAGTAATCTATGCCAACAAATCAACTTTTTTTTTTTGGAAAACAACAAGAAATCAACTTTCATTCCTCTAGAAGGAAAGCTTAGCCGTTGTGGTAATTGCAGTATGTTCTTGTGAAAAACTTTCCAATTATAACATGAAGTCCTGATACAAAGTAAACAATAAAATAGTAATTTCCGAAAATAAACTATACAGCGCAGGTGGTTCTTTCACGTGTTGCTAGGATATATATGCGCATCATATTCAATTTAACTCACTTTGACATGAATTTAAAGATTACTCTGCTGATCAATTTGAAAAATAAATAAATTCAACCTATGTAACAGTAGAGACACGTAAATATAAAATGTCGGTTAACCCATAGCCTTCATCATGACAGTACAAAGATCTATAGAATTTTTTAAGCCAAGAGTTTTAAGAACTTACATTGGCAACTGAAAAGGTCTGGTACTTGAGCAAAAGCTAATTTGTGGATTTCTTCTGAAACAAAATTTTCATTGATTATGTGTCTCTTCACTGCTAACTTAGTCGAGGCACCTAATACAACTCCTCTATGAAGGATTATGAAGATAACTTGAGGGTAATATTTAGAAGACTAATTAGCACATAGGTGAAAATGGTGTATCTTCCTGACTAAACCTAAATGGTGACAGATATATCAGGCAATAAAATATTACAAGAGGATCAAAAGACAAACCAACTACTTTTTGAATGCCCATAGAAGAGTTGCTACATGAGGTTTGATATATGTTCAACAGAGGGCAAGAAAACTTCGTTTAGGATACATGGATAAGGACCAACTAAAGAGCTGTCTCCATTGCCCCAATTGACTTAAAATGCTAAAAAGCTTGTAGCCCTTATCCTTCATGCCATCTTTGGAACCTTATGGAAAGAGAGGAATAGTTGAATTTTGTGGAATGTAGAAATGGAATTTTTGAAGGCACTGCATCTAATTTTGCTAATATTAGAGATTGATCGTTGAGACCTTAAAATATTTTGCTTAAAGGTCAATCTATCTTCCATGAAGAAGATTTATGGAAGCTCGTAAACTCGTTGATATTTTGTTTGAGCCCCACATCTCTTGTACATGGTTAGCACTCTCTTGTCACCCCTCTGGTGTGCTGTTAATACTATTCTTCTTTTTGTTCTCAAAGAAAAATCGAAAATGGTCCAACATAGTCTTGCTAGTGATTCCTACGGCAGCATTATTTGCCACCTCTCTCCATCACACCTCTTCTACTTTCCAATAACTCACCCATACCACTCAAGGGGTTATCTTCTCAGCAAATCCTATAATAGAAGCACCACATAGCACACCTCTCCACCACACCTCTCCACCACACCTCTTCTACTTCCCAACAACTCAACCAAACTACTCAGTTGTTCTTATATGATCCAACAGCAGTCCCTACAGGATAGGGACAGGAAAAAAGAAAGCAAAGAAAATTCTTCAAATACCACTCATGTTAGTAAAGCCAACCCGATGTAATACACTTATATCCTTTTCTCGATGATAAATGAGCCGGATCTATAGGATGAATCCTTGGGAAGCATAAGCAATGATAGAAAGGAAGAAGAGCAAAGAAAAGAGAGAATAACAATGAAAAATATGAAATACATTAGAAGTAGAAGAACTCGGATTCCAAGTGAACAAATTCAAATCTACAAAGCATCTTCCTAATTCTCAAAGAACGACGGAGCATGCAATTAAGAACTACAATGCAATTGTCAATGACTTCCATCCATACTTCCAAAGTACAGCATCCAACTTAAATACCAACATCTCTATAGCAATTTCTAATCCTCACCTTTGCATTGGATATCGTCTGCCTCCTTAATTGAGCATCCAATATAAGACCGGAGTATGAGATTTCGAAGTAAACTCCGCGCTGCAAATCAGAAATCGCAAAATTTGTGCAATAAGTCAGAACGCGGAAAACAAAGAAAAAAGGAAACCAAGGAGAAAAAAATAGAAGGGAAGAGCAAACCTTAATGGCGGCTTTAACCATGGGAAGCTTCAATCGAAACGGCAGCTTGTCTGAAAAATCAATTGAAATCATATCAACCTACAATAGTTTCAGATATATTATCAGGATAATTTGCATGTCTGAATCCAGATCAGAAAAAAATATATATATTAATCGTTTTCAATAAATATTTGAGATTCTACAATGTCACAAATTTATTACAGAAAAAAAAAAATCAAAGCTAACCTCAGCTCTTTCACAAGCGTGATCAAACGCGCTCTGGTTCAGGGGTCTAACAGCGACGATGTCGTAGCTCTTCAAAATCGGGTTCCCGGAATTCAAAACTTGGCCCTGAGGCACACTCTCGACACAAACAGTGAGACGCGTGTACTGGCGGAAGGGAGAGGTGCGCGGGACGCCAAGGAGGTCGCGGTGGAAGTTGACGGAGGATGCGAGAGCCGGAGCGAGCTTCAGTAGAGAAGAAAGTGTTAATAAAGGAATGGAGCAACGGTCTTGATCAGACATGACGCCCTTGAACATCCGATTGTAGGCGATGCCAGTGTAGCCAAGCTCCATAGCTTTGGTGACAAGCTTTACGCGCACCGCTTTTTGAGCGGGAGTCTGATTGAACCGTGAGGCCTCGACGTAGGGAATGTTCAGGTCGAAGAACGCCATTGCTGGTAAAACACGAGAGAGAGAGAGAGAGAGAGAGAGAGAGGGAAAACTAAAAGCGTCTACTGTACGCCGAGGGTTTTCAGGTTATAAGGAATTTGAGATTTTTCTTTTTTAGTTTTCTCTGCCCGTTCAGGTCCCTCTTGTTTCCGGAGCAATAAACGACGACGTTTTTCGTTTAAAACGACCCAAAGCTTAAATTTATTCTTGTACTTTATAAAAAATGTGCAGTCATGCAATTAAATCCTTAATTTTCATTCTATGCAATTGAGTCCTTCCCACAACATTAACCATTGATGTAATTTGATACCAATTATTTATTATTATATTGTTGTTGATGCGGTATTTTTGCACACGTGGTGCTAACGTACGTGACACGTGTTTTCCATATTTATTTTTAAATATTTTAAATTATTAAATATTTCTTTTTACTTTTTAATAAAAATAGTATTATAAATTATTTTAAAATTATAAACTTAAATCATATTTGAAATTATTAAATAAAATAAAATTGTTACAATGACTTGCCATTGAAGAAAAATACGTTCACATGTATCAATAGTCTCTAATTTGATATAAATTATAAATATTATGTTTAGATTATATTGTGACTGAAATACTAATTAAACTTTTATATAAGATTCTCTGTCATAAAAGTTTGTAACTTTCTTATATATTTGCTTTCCACAACAAGCCTACTAAGTTGATTTTGTGTCAAATACCCTTTTTAAGTTAGGGATCCATTCTGATTTGCCTTTGCAATGATTTTCATATGAGATTTTTAGGTTGTTGTACAACTCGTTGTCTTCCCTCTTTTACAGAGCAATGATGATATTTTTTTTTTTATATAACATAATATTTAATGCAAAGGAGTGACATTAAAAAATGAGTTTGTTTATAATTGATCTCAATTAGAGGGTTAGGATTTTGGAATGATCTAATAGCTTACACATTATACAAAAAGATGGATCGAAACTCATTTATAAAGTAAGCTCTCTCTATTTTTTGGTGTCAACACTATATCTATCTTCAACTCTTTCATCATATACCCTTGGTGGAAAAAAGCTTGGACACAAGCAATCATATTATCATTTATAATAGGCCATAATTGATGATACAACATAACTGATATATTTTTATGGTATTTATGCTTTGTGATACATGTATTTTTAATGACTATATGTGTTTATTTTTATGTATATTATGTCATAAACTATCATTATCTCTATCAGTTATAATAAGAGAAATAAAACATTTCAAATAATCAAGGTAAGTTAAAGTTTGCTCAAAAAACTCCTCAAATTATTTAGTAATTACTTATTGTTCTAAAACTTAGTACTCGTTAGAGTTTTTTAAAAAAATCACTAGAATTCTTACGACATTTGCCTAATTATAAAGATATAAAGGTATTAGGCAGTTGTGCTATATGTTTTACTCAGACATTTCTACTACATTGCTTTCAATAAATCTCTCATATCAAAATGAGCTATTAGAGCTTAGCTTCTTGGTGTAAACTATTTGTATTGGGTTTGAGTTGTTATATTTTGTCTAAATATGCTTTCAGTTGCCAAGTTTTTCGATAAGTCATTCTAAGATAATGGTGCTCTACTTAGTTAGAGTTATATGAGTTGTTTTAAATTTTAAATAATATTTATGAGTTGTAGAATTATAGATGACAAGTTTTATGTTTGTTATATGACGAATCCACAAGATGAATCTCGAAGCCAGGCCTTTCAAATATGAATGCTCTATTTGTGATGTGTACTTATCATAGATATATGAGTGGACTATGGTATAAAAATCTTTTAGGCCACTGAGAAACAAATATTTTGGGGAGTAAAAGCTATCATTAAGTGTTAGTCAATGTTTGATATATCCTTAATCTTAAGTCACATGACCTTATTCGTTTATTTAACTATGTAAAGGGATTACCTTTGATCCAATGTCAATTTAAACCCAATGTATTGACTATTTCACTAAATATATTTATAGATATTCCACCATTTTATCTTGTTTTACTTCAGTATAAGTTTATAAAAACAGTGTTAAAATATTTTGCCAATAGCTAAGGAAGGTAATGGTTGTTTCAAATGCAAAGTATGTTGTATTGAAACATTTTCTTAGTGAATAAATAAAATAGTTTTGAGATTCTATATAGTGACAATAGCTCTTTGTAGTTTGATCATCAACTATGATATTCTGATTTATTTATAAGGTGGACAATCTATAAAGATATAGACAAGTCATAAACTCCATTTTTTATCTCGATGTTGGTCAAATATCGTGTTCAAATCCTATTTTACGACATATTATTATAATTCTTCTTTCACCAACTTTGGTTTTCTAGAGAAAATTGATTTATGACTTAATACAAGAGCCCTTAATTTACTAATGATTGAAATATGAGTTTATAATTTACAATTAGTCACAATACATTTTATGATTGATCATGAGGCATTTTACCCACCCCCACGACCTTTAGATCTATGAGAGGCTGTTTAGGTCAACAATAGTGATAACGCGGGTTGTTGGGAGTTAAACTTGACAAGATTCCTATTTTTGCTCTAGCTTTCATTTGGATATCTTATCTTCTTCTGGTGGACAAACTAATTTAAGCAGGTGTAATGGTGGGCCTTGTGGATATAAGTGAAGTCAATTGGGAATCAGTCTTTATAGACAACTAGTTAATGTCAGAGTAAGATTTTTTTTTTTGAACATTCACTTAAAATTAACAATATACATATATAAGATTATAAATTATAATATATTTGTAATAAATATACATTTTTATTAATAATCTCACCAATTCATTCACTATAAACTCTTATCATATTTTATATTTTTATTACTTTAATATTTATTATTGTTTCTCTCAGTCGTGTAATAAAATGCATCATTTGATCTCATTAGTGTTTGGAGATTAAGTTCCATTAAATAGATTTATGAGTTTAATTACAATGTTTATTTGGTAATTTTTTTTTTTTAAATATGTATGAATGTATCCCCCATGAAGTTTAAATCTAAAGCTTAGAAACTAAGGATAAAAATCAAATATAAAAAAAGTATTTTGAGGAAATAAATTTCATATCTCTATAAAGTTCTATGCATTCTATAATTTTCATAAGGCGCCAATCCAATAAAAACCGCCCGGTTTTTGACCCTATAAATATATATATTTTTTAAAAAAATCCCTCAAAAATTTTTTAAGCATGTAACCAAAACGCTCTCACAGAGGAAACACAGTAAATAGTTCTAGAAGAAGAAGAAGGAAAAAAGAAAAAAGAGGGTCGTCAAAAGGTTCCTCTCAGTTTCATACACCTCATCGATCCGCGTCGCTCCCGTTTTCAAATCTCAGCCGTTCACTTCAAACTAATCGACGGTCCAAACTCCCAAGTGTCGATTCACATGGATTTAGATCGAGCCCCGAGCGACCTCTTCCCCCCTTATAAATACCATTAAATGCCACATCAAAATTCACCATATCTGTTTTTGCCTCTTTTGTTCTGCAGATCTCTTCAAAGTCTCAGCTCTCCGGGTATCTTTCTCTTCACTCCGATTTCCAATTTCCAATTTTTTTCTAAAGTTTTATGTTAAGTTCATCTGTTTCTGCATGTATCATTGAATTCTTCTGGGTTAATTTTATATTCACCACCTGAGCTTTGTGTTTCTTCATCTTCATTTCTGGGTGTCTGATAGAATATTATGGATTAGTTAAATTGTTGAGGATTATTTACGTAAAAATTTTGATATTTTCTCATGGTTGTCGGATAAATTTTTCTAAATTTTTATCTTACTCTTTTGTGCTCAGTTCCGTCGTTAATCACCTGATCAAAACATGTCTGGCCGAGGAAAAGGTGGAAAAGGATTGGGAAAGGGAGGAGCCAAGCGTCATCGTAAGGTGCTCCGAGATAACATCCAGGGCATTACCAAGCCCGCAATTCGCCGTTTGGCTCGTAGAGGTGGCGTGAAGCGTATCAGCGGTTTGATATACGAGGAGACCCGAGGTGTTCTTAAGATCTTCCTGGAGAACGTGATTCGCGATGCTGTGACCTACACGGAGCATGCGAGGAGGAAGACGGTGACGGCCATGGATGTCGTTTATGCTTTGAAGAGGCAGGGCAGGACCCTTTACGGATTCGGCGGTTAGGGTTTTGTTTGAGTTGGGAATTTGCGGCAAGAGGGGAGGGGGGAACAGAGAGGGGAAAGGGAGAGAAGTCTTGCTGTCAAGAAATTGGTTGATGTTGTTGTTTAGGGTTAGGGTTAGGGTTAGGGTTAGAGTTGGGATCAATGTGGTTTTGTGGATTTGCGTGGAATTAGAGGATGGGAGGAGAGGGGGTACTTTTGGAAATTTTATTTTGGGTGGTGGTTGTTGATGTCTTGTAATTCAATCTTTGAATTTCAAGGTAAATGGACATTTAGTCTCTTTGTAAATTTTTACTGGACTCCTCGCATTTCTCTGGAACCAACGCATTAGTTTTCTTTGAGAAATTAAAGTATTATATATCTGAATAAGAGGGTGTTTAGTTTTAGTTTTATGGTTGTGTGTAGTCTTTGCCTTGTGGAAGGTACAAAATAAGACCTGATAGTTTAAAAGAATTAAGTGAGTGATTTATGATTTGCGTCAAACCCACCCAAAAGATGCACTCATGGAAATCATGTGGTTAATTTACCAATTGAAAAAATCTCATTTCTGAACTTCATAAAATGGTGTAATTAACGTGTACATTTTATTAAAATTGAATTCAATTACTTTATTTAATTGAATATCGAAAACTTATATCAATCAATGTGTACATTTTATATTCTGAAAATAACAACTGGCTATAATCATTCAAACCAAACCAAAGTAGCATCGGCACAATCGATTTTAAAAAGTATATTAAACAGCGAAAGGTGTTACATTATGCAGGCTCCCTTTTTTTGTTTTGAAAAAATAAATATTTCACCTACAACATGAAGATTGAAGGATTAAACAATGACTTTGAAAACATGGAAAATTTTAGATAACCTTTTTTTTTTTTTTTTTTTTTTCTGATTAGCATATTCTACTCCGAAGAAATAGTACAGTAGTGAGCACAGTCCCGTCTAGATTAATCTATTAATCCATTAAAAAGCTTCATAGTCCAAACAAACCCCAAGTTGAAAAATAGTTAAAGGGGTCAGTCACAGCCACAGACACATTGTCTTTTCACGACTAATCTTTTATCTGTGCCCTCCCTCACTCTGCTTTATGCTTCGAAGACTTTCTGGGATCCGAATATCGCCATCCGCTTGTACACCTTCCCACAAATTTCAGAACCTCATCAATCAAGATAACAGGAAAAGCAACTGCAATCACCAAAAGCCATTCGTTCAGGCTCAGAGGGACAATTCCGAATATTTGAGCCAGGAATGGAACGTAAAGGATCAAGAAGTGCAGCCCAAACGACACAGACATCGCTACGAGTAACCACGGGTTGACCCACGGAGGCATTGTCAACAAGCTTCCATCTTCGGACAGGGCATTTAGGGAATTGAACATCTCAATGGCGACCAAGACAGAGAGGGAGAGCGTAGAGGCTTTGATTTTCCCAGAGTGGAAATACTCGCAGGGATTTGAGTCGAACGTGAACAGTTGGGATCCAGCTTTAAATGGTGTAACTGAGAAGCCTTCCCAAGATGAGCATTGACCCCAGTGAGCAAGCTGAGAATAGGTCACAAGACTGTGACCGTCTCCGCTGAGATCAATGCCTAAGAACGTGTGGTGAGTATACCATATAACGAACACTCCAACAGTTGCTAAGCCAACGTATAATCCAATTACCTGTGTCAGAGAAGGAATGGAGAACAATGTTAATGAAAGCATTTGAGTGAGTGCTAATAATCAAGGCTTTCAGAATTGCGAAAAAAACATAATTATACCAGATAACGGAATAAAATCCAAGCTGTTATCAATGGATCGTCATTTCTTCTTGGGGGTTTCGTCATTATATCCTTATCTGGGGGATTGAATCCCAGAGCTGTTGCTGGAGGTCCGTCAGTGACAAGATTAACCCAGAGAAGCTGCACCGGGATCATGCCTTCTGGAATACCCAATGCTGCTGTCAAAAATATAGAGGCAACTTCACCGATATTGGATGAAATCATGTACCTGTAATTATGGCGTTTAGAGAGTTTACTCCACAATAACTTATTTACACAGAACTTTAAATGAAAAAAAATAATAAACATGGAGATTTAGTGTCTAAATTAGTTCGGACAGCTGACTAAGACACATTGCCAATGCACAGATCAGCATGCACCAAAAGCAGTCATTTGACTATAATCATTATGTTCGCAGTCATTTGACTATAATCATTATGTTCGTAGACCATGTAAGTGTGACTGAAAGACCTGGATTCAAGTCCCATCAACTAAAATTAGGTTATTCATAAATCTTAATACGCAAATCAAACTTGGCACCTATAGTAGTAAACATGCAGCTTTCATAAATATTTATGAATAGAAGCAAATAACACCTGATAAAAGCTTTCATATTGTTGTATATCGACCTGCCTTCACCAACAGCAGCAACTATAGTGCTAAAATTATCATCTGCCAACACCATGTCAGATGCCTCCTTTGCAACCTGAATTAGTAAACCAGGAATAACAACGGGGCACATAAGTAAAATGAAATAAGCGAGGGAAAAAAAATGAAAACAAAAAGCAGATGTGAACAAATTGTACCAAAATAGAGATGGATAATTAAACTAGTCTGCCCATGCCAGCAGCATGGTTTAGTGGTCGCATCATGCCAAGAGGTAATACAAAAATAACCAGTATGCTGCTAAATTTTCAAACTTGGAGAAAAAGTTGAGGCCACAAACAAAGGGAAAAATTCTGTAATTTCTGATAAACCAGAAAATCTATTTCTACATAATCCATTCAAATTGATGTGCACTCTACTTCCGCACCACATGAATTTGTTACCACCAAAACATAAAACCAAAATGCATTTCTACAGGAGATTTTGTTTTTCTTTAAGAACAAATGGCAACGGGCGAGGAAAGAACTGGCATATGTGTACAACATGAAATGCCCTCAAATAAATCATGTTTGCTATGGGAAACTCACCCCCTCCCCCCTAAACAAAAAGGTTAAATGGTTTAAACTCATTGATGCGATTCAATGCATTAAATTAAGTGTAAAACCTGGAAAGACTTAAAGGTATAGTGTTACCTCGGTCCCAGCAATGCCCATTGCAACCCCAATATCTGCCAACTTCAATGCAGGTGCGTCGTTGACCCCATCTCCTGTCATTGCAACAACTTCACCGTCCTCTTTAAGTAGTTTGACTATTTCTTGTTTGTGCCTTGGTTCAGCCCTTGAGAACAGAAGCCCTCCACTCTGTCTTAGATGATTCTTTTGATCAGGATGCTCCATAAATTCTTTTCCAGTTAAGCTCTTTGTGGCTATATTTTCATGAGGACCAAAAACACCAATTTCACGACAAATAGCTTCTGCTGTATCCTTATTATCTCCAGTAATAACCATGACACGAATTCCAGCTGCTTTGCAGTCCTCAAGAGCTTGACGGACCTCTTTTCGTGGAGGATCCTTTAATTATTTAAAACAATTCGACATGAATTTTGAAGAATTGAAAAGATAGTAAGGAAGTGGTGCAAAGAGAAGGAAACAGAAGATAAAACCAACATACCCTCAACCCGAGTAAACCAACAAAAATGAGATTGCTCTCAATTGAACAATAATTGGATGGATTAAG